TAGTGAGCCTGCTTCTCCCTCCTCCTGTGTTTCTGCCTCTCTCTCCGTGTCTCTCATGAATAATTTTTTTAAAGATTTATTTATTTATTTATGATAGACATAAAGAAAGAGAGAGGCAGAGACACAGGAAGAGGGAGAAGCAGGCTCCATGCCAGGAGCCCGACGTGGGACTCCATCCTGGGACTCCAGGATCACGCCCTGGGCCAAAGGCAGGCGCTAAACCGCTGAACCACTCAGGGATCCCCGAATAAATAAATCTAAAAAAAAAAAAAAAAGTGAGGGCAGCCCGGGTGGCTCAGCGGTTTAGCACTGCCTTGAGCCCAGGGCCTGATGCTGGAGACCCAGGACTGAGTCCCAAGTCAGGCTCCCTACATGGGGCCTGCTTCTCCCTCTGCCTGTGTCTCTGCCTCTCTCTCTGTGTCTCTCATGAATAAATAAATAAAATCTTTAAAAAAAAAAAAAAGTGAAAATCCGTATCCTGGGACACCCGGCTGGCTCATTGGTTGAGCACCTGCCTTCAGCCCAGGGCTGACCCCGAGCTCCTGGGATCGAGTCCCACGTCGGGCTTCCTGCATGGAGCCTGCTTCTCCCTCTGCCTGGGTCTCTGCCTCTCTCTCTGTGTCTCTCATGAATAAATAAATAAAATCTTTTTTTAAAAAAAAGTGAAAATCCATATCCTGGGACACCCGGGTGGTCCAGGGGTTGAGCACCTGCCTTCGGCCCAGGGCGTGACCCCGGGATCCCGGGATGGAATCCCACATCGGGCTCCCCGCAGAGAGCCTGCTTCTCCCTCTGCCTCTGCGTCTCTCACTAAAAAATAAATAACATCTTAAAAAAAAGCAAGGAACATCTCCCTTCCACGGCCACAAATCAGCAAAACCGAAGTCACACTGATCTATTAGGGAGAAATGAGTGTTTTCAAATTTGTACAGCTCCTCGCCGAGGACTCCAGCGGAAGAGAAACGACGGGAAGGCCGCCCGAGCCGTGCCATGAACGACAGCACGTGTGGGCACCTTGGGCTTCCAAGTCGACCCCTCCGGATCTCCCACCGCTGCGGAGGACGCGGGCCCCTCCCGACCACACAGCCCACGCCTTGCGGACCGAGCCACAAACTGCAGCTCGCGGCAGGCGCCCAGGGCCTCCTGGCCGCGGGTGCCGGCGGCGGAGTCCTCCACCGCGCAGCCTGCGGTCGGCTCTCGCGGGTCGGGCCCGCCGTGGTGCGCCCCTCCGCGCCCGCTTACCTGCTCCGGGGGGCCTCCGCCCGGGGCTCGCTCCCCCCGCAGGCGGCCGCCGGCACATCCGTGGACTCCGCGGGCTTCGGAGAAGGGGCCGCCGCCGGGGCCTGGGGCCCGGGCGCCTCCGGCCTGCGGTGCGCGGTGGGGGCGGTGGAAGCCCGGGCGCCTGCGGCAGGCCTGACATTCGGCTTCACGCTAAGGCGTGCCCTGCGGAACATGGCGGAGCCAGGGGGCCCGGGGAGGCGGCCCCGCGGCCGCTCTCAGCCCCGAGCCCCGGCCGCTGCCCGGGGAAGGGATTAAGAGCTACGCCCTCTCCACGCGGCCACGCCACCAGCCCCGCGGGCAGCTACCGCAGCTTCGCACCCCCGCCGCCGCCGCCTTCCTCCCGCCGCCGCCTCTTCTTCATGACCCTGCCACACTGAGAGCTAAGTCTCCGCGGTACCTCACTTCCCCGCCCTCGGGGGGGCGCCGGAACTGATGACGCCATCAGCCAGCGCCGCGGAAGGACGTCAGACGCAAGGCTCCCGGAGCCATGGTAACTGTCAAGCTACAGGGGCCCCAGCAAACCGGAAATGGGGCCGCGCGGCGAAGCGTTCCTCCGTCCCACCCCCGCCGCAGGAATCCCTGCGAGTTACTGGCGGGGGCGCAGAAAGGGAGGGAGTCCTGCAAGCCGCAGGGCCCAAACCGTGAGGAGACCGGTGCAATCAGGCGGCGCCCGCCTGCTCAGCCAGAGGAGTGTGGACTCTTGATCCGGGGGTCGTGAGTTCAGGCCCCACGCCTGGGGGGGGGGCAGGGAGGTGTTAGAGTACTTTAAAAAAATTTTTTTGGGGGATCCCTGGGTGGCGCAGCGGTTTGGCGCCTGCCTTTGGCCCAGGGCGCGATCCTGGAGACCCTGGATTGAATCCCACATCGGGCTCCCAGTGCATGGAGCCTGCTTCTCCCTCTGCCTATGTCTCTACCTCTCTCTCTCTCTCTCCCTGTGTGTGACTATCATAAATAAATTAAAAAAAAATTTTTTTTGACTTTACAAAAATAAGGTCTTGCAGAGTAGCGCCTGTTCACCAGCACATCCCCAGAACTTAGAAACTCCAAAGTGAGTAGGGACGCTTGGGGGGCTCAGCGGTTGGGCACCTGCCTTGCGCCCAGGGCCTGATCCTGGAGTGGGGGGGGGGTCTTGCATGGGGCCCCCTACATGGAGCCTGCTCCTCCCTCTGCCTGTGTCTCTGCCTCTCTCTCTCATGAATAAATAAAATCGTAAAAAAAGAAAAAAAAAGATATTCTAAAGTGAGTAGAACATAGATGACAAATTCAGGTGTGAAGGAACTGGTAAGTGACCTCCTCCAAGAGGAACATGTCGTGGGAGGAAGACCATTCACTTTGTACCTTTGTTTACTTTTTAATGTACCTGTTCAGAAATTATTATAGCTAAAAGTATATAGTTATGTAGTAAATTAACATAAGTATTCCCTAATCTGCTTCGGGACATGGCAGATGTCCGAAGCCATAACCAAGGCGTTCTGGGTTGGGGAGGGAAAAAGAGTACAATAAAAGAAGAAGATAACTTAAGAATTTATTAAATGCTATGAAAGAAATGTAAAGGATAGTATCACAGAGATTAAGGGAAGGCTGGCTTGCTTTAGTAGGATGGTTAGGGAAGGTTTCTATAAGGAGAGGAAAAATGGCCATAGATGACGTCAGTTTTACACAGTATGGGCCAGTTCTTGAACCAGCTATATAAATCCCCTGACTCATTGCAACAGACAGGTCTGACTCCTTTCTTGGAAAGACAAGGTTTTTTTTTTTTTTTTTTTTTTTGAAGGACAAGATTTTACAAGAATATCCTGTTAATAACAAAATGTCAAAGGAATCTAATCCTTTGTTAATTAATCCTTGCTATGTCATCAAGACAGGAGAAAAAGAGACAAGGGCTTTTCAAAGTTTAAATAACAAGGATGAAAGCATAAAAGAGACAAGAGATTCCTCTAAGACTGGAAAGAAAATAGAGGTCTCTGGATTCTGTGGGCTCCCTCGGGTACCCTGAGGGAGTGAACAGGACTTCAGATGCTTTTAAAGAAGTTCAACAACTAGACAAAGGAACCCCCTACTGAAGATGTCTCAGGAATCCTGGAGCCACCGGCAGGACCACAGGGCTTTGTACGGTATATTCTGATGATGCATTGTCTTTCCCCAAACATTCCGATTCCACCTGACACTCTAGGGCATTCCCACAATTCTATAGCTAAGGCAGTGGACAATGACAAAGATTTAACTTCTCATTAGTATCAGGATGGGAACAAAGTCGGATTTCATTTTATTATTGAACTATAAAGTCAGGCACACCTGGGTGGCTCAGTTAGTTAAGCGACAGACTCTTGATTTTGGTTCCAGTCACGACCTCTGGGTCATTAGGTCCAGCCCGGAATGGAGGCTCTGCACTCAGCTTAGAGTCCACCTATCCTTTCTCCCTCTGCACATTCACTCTCTACCCACCCCACCCTCTGTCTCAAATAAACAAAATCCTTTAAAATAAAGTCCTAAGATATTTCTTACACTCCCAACTTTGTGGAGTAAGTTCATAATGGCATCACAGTAACTTCAAGAGTCTTCAGTTCTCTCTGGCAGACAATCCCAACTTTTCTTGTGTACATCAGCTGTATCCTTAACAACTTGCAAAGTGTATTTTCAGCCATAAAAAAAAAAAAACAATTAGACTGGACATTAAGATCACGTACAGAAGCAAGAACGCTGCCACTTCTCTTCCAATCCCACATTCCCTTCCTATCACACAACCCGAGCACAGAGACAGTAACCTAAAACTCCCAAAGTCGTGTCGACCGTGACAAAGGCCCTGGGATCAAATGGGAAAATGAGCAGATTCGAGTCCGTCGTAAATCTGAATCTCCCTTGTACGAGTCCCTACCTGTTAGGTCGCTCGCTCTTAGTCTCAGGGTCTCCATCTCCTCCGTAAAATGAGAACAATGAAGTCTACCTTACAGGCTTGGTGTAGTTATAGCGTAAGAAAACGTGTCAAGAGCCACAGCTGCCTGCTGCAGAGTCCCCCTCAATCTGTCCTGCCCCCTTCCCGCTCTTCCCGCTTCAGCAAGGCATACTCGAGAGAAAGTTAACGTCCTCCGTCGAACCCTTAGATACAGCTGCACTTAGTGTGGTTTCTGTCGTTAGCAAACAAATGAGGGCTGGCCAGGCACCAGCGCTCGGCCCGCAGCGGGTGACGTCCGCGGACGCCCGGCCCGCCTTCCAGGGATCGCCCCCGGCGCGGACCAGTCTCGCCGTGAGCCTGCAGGTCCCAGCCCTAGCTCCGCGGCTGGGGCTACCCCCGCTTCCCCGCGGCGCACGCGCAGTCGCTCGCCCTGCTCGCGGGAGGCGGGGCCACGGACGGCGGGGGCGCGGCCCGGCGGAGGGTCGGCGCGGGGGCGGGGCCACGGACGGCGCGGGGGGCGGGGCCCGGCGGAGGCTCGGGGCGGGGCCACGGGCGGCGCGGGGGGCGGAGCCCGGCGGAGGGACGGCGCGAGGGCGGGGCCACGGACGGCGCGGGGGGCGGGGCCCGGCGGAGGGTCGGCACGGGGGCGGGGCCACGGACGGCGCGGGGGCGGGCCCGGCGGAGGGTCGGCACGGGGGCGGGGCCACGGACGGCGCGGGGGGCGGGCCCGGCGGAGGGTCGGCGCGGGGGCGGGGCCACGGGCGGCGCGGGGGGCGGAGCCCGGCGGAGGGCGGCGCGAGGGCGGGGCCACGGACGGCGCGGGGGGCGGGGCCCGGCGGAGGGTCGGCGCGGGCTCCGCGTTCCCGGGAGGCGGGTGTGGACGGCCGCTGAGCGCGCCTGGAGGCGGTTGCTTTTGCGCGGAGCTCTCTCCCCCGCGGGGCCGCCATCGGCATGGCCCGTGAGTGTACGGGCGGGCGGGCGGGGAGCGTCCGCGGAGGAAGCCTCGCTGCGGAGCTGGCGGGGCGCGGGGGTCGGGGCTGGCGGGGGTCGGGGCTGGCGGGGGCCGGGGAGGGGGACCCTGTCCTCCGTCCGCCGGGGACCGGGACGCTTAGCCTCGGCCGCGCCTCCGACGTGGGCCGCCGCTGCCGGGGTGCGAGCGTCCGCGGTAGAGAGCCGCTCCCAGGAGGGGGGGCTAGAGGACCACGGCCCCCGGAGGGGCCTTAAGGACGGGAAGCCCCGACGGAGCCCGCTCACTGGTTCTTTTGTTTGTGCCTTTCAGTCCGTCCTCCTTCCCGTCCACGCGTTTCAAAAAGGTAGAGCTGCGGACGCCCGGGGGGCTCCGCGGTGGAGCGTCTGCCCTCGGCCCAGGGCGTGACCCCGGGGTCCCGGGATCGAGTCCCGCGTCGGGCTGCCTGCACGGAGCCTGCTTCTCCCTCTCCCTGGGTCTCTGCCTCTCTCGCTGTCTCATGAATAAATAAAATCTTAAAAAAAAAAAAAAAAAAAAAAAAAAACTAGAGCTTAGTTTGAAGCAGCGAGCCGTGTGGACCGAGGAGCGGAATGCCCGTTGTGCTTACAGCTCGAGAGCACGCCGCCCGGTGGGATAACTCGCCTTAGGCGTCCACCCCACGGGCGCATCTGCTCGACAGCTACAACTTCAGATGCGTTTTTAAACGAGTGTTTTTTTGTTTTTAAAAAAAATCTTATTTTCTTATGAGAGAGAGAGAGACAGAGGGAGAAGCAGGCTCCATGCAGGGAGCCCGATGCGGGACTCGATCCCGGGGCCAAAGGCAGGCGCTGAACCGCTGGGCCACCCAGGGATCTCGTAAAGTACGAGCGGCCTGAACGGGAGCGGCCTAAACGGGATTCGTGTGGAGTTTTGAGATGGGAAAATTAGAGCAGGAGGGCAGCCCTGGTGGCGCAGCGGTTTAGTGCCGCCTGGGGTGTGATCCTGGTAGAACCCGGATCGAGTCCCGCATCGGGCTTCCTGCATGGGGCCTGCTTCTCCCTCTGCCTGTGTCTCTGCCTCTCTCTCGCTCTCTCTGAATGAATAAATAAATAAATCTTTAAAAAAAAAAAAAAAGAAAGAAAAAGAAAATTAGAGCAGGACTGTTTGACTTTTGTAGGAGGAAACCAGCGAGAACTCGCCCGCCAGAAAAACATGAAGAAATCCCAGGAAATTAGCAAGGGAAAAAGAAAAGAAGATAGCTTGACCACCTCTCAGAGAAAGCAGAGGTAAGTGAGTGACACTAATGGGATTTTCAAGTCACTGAAGCTGTCATTTTGGAGAATGGAAAGAAATGTTTTTTCTTTTCCCCCCGTCCTTGGTAGAACTAGTCTTAGCCTGCATAGAGGGGTAGACAGTGGAACGTCTGTGCGGTGCATGCCAGAATTATGTAGCCATCCCGAACCATGGGTGAAAAATTGCGAGCTCTCAAGCTATAGTCTTTTTTTTTTAAGATTTTATTTATTTATTCATATAGACAGGCAGAGACACAGGCAGAGGGAGAAGCAGGCATTATACAGAGAGCCTGATGTGGGACTCGATCCAGGGTCTTCAGGATCACGCCCTGGGCTGCAGGCGTCACTAAACCGCTGCACAACCGGGGCTGCCCTAGTCTTTTTTTTTTTTTTTTTTTAAGATTTTATTTTATTTTTTCATTCGTGAGAGACACAGAGGGAGAAGCAGACTCACTATGCAGAGTCCGATGTAGGACTCAATTCTGGGACCACTAAGCCACCCTGGAGTCCCTCAAACTATAGTCTTGAGAAGAATTCCATGCTGATTCATCACTACAACCCTAAGAACTTCATTTAGCAAAATAGTTGAATGCCTTGCCTATGGAGGGCACTTGTTCAGTGCTAGGGATACAGTGTTTTCAAAGTGGACTCCCTACCCAAACTAGTGAAGATGACTGGTTGACTCAATCATAGGGATAAAGGTTCTGAAGAAAACACAAGTATATGTAGCTATCTTGTCTTCCAAAGATCCATTGTGTTGGAGAAAAATGCAGGTGCACAGCCTTGATATATGATTACTTGTGAGAAATACAAAACTGCTACAGAAATACTTTGGGAGTATAGCTTGAATTTTTTCAATGCATATTTGTAAACGAGTTTAATTTTATTCTAAGATCAAATTTTGTCTATGTACAACTTGGAGGTCACTTGAAGAATTGACCAGACATGCTTCGGTGGGGCTTCTCGGTTGTCCGCGAGCCTGCGTTAAATTAGAACCACCTGGGAAACCCTGAGGGCTACTCAAGCCTGTGCCTTAAATCCAGTTCTGGTTTAATTGGTCTGGGGCTGGGCATAACAGGTGCTCTAGGTATATCTTATTGTGCCTAAGTTAAACCTGCCTTTAGAAAAAGCTTCTCAGGTGATGCTAATGGGCACCTATAGTTAAGAATCATCGTTTAGAGGTGCGTGGCTAGCTCAATTAGTGGAGCATGCAACTCTTGAGGCCTGACTTCAAGCCCCACATTGGGTTAATGATCACCTCTCTTTCTGTGTTAAAGTGATGAGGTTTGCCTTCAATTTCTGTTTACCCACACTGGAGTAAAAATGAGCGTGGTACAAATCAATGAACATGAAATTTTTAATGGAGAACCCTAGTCCAGCTTGGCTCAGTAATAGTCCCTGTTAAAAGGATATCCACAGGTTAGAAAGCTCTGTGCTGGCTACTCTACCATGTATTGTCTCTCTTGTTATCCTGAAAAGCAGCATTAGCCTCAATGTATAGAATAGGAAGCTGAGGCTCTGAACTTCAATAACATTGCTAAGAGTACAGCAAGCACAACAGAGCTCCATTTCAAACAGAAAAATAGCTATCACTATTTTCCATGATACTTCATTTCTTTGTAGTCTTGTTTTTCCTTCATTCTCTTTGCTATTGGCTTTACAGAAATGTCTACTGTCATGGACAGAGCTACTCACCCTGAATTAAAATCTTAAACTAAATCTGTGTGATAATAGGGAAGAGCTTGAACTTTGAAATTGGACAAGGGCAGCCCCAGTGGCTCGGAGGTTTAGCGCCACCTTCAGCCCAGGGTGTGATCCTGGAGACCCAGGATGGAGTCCCATGGCGCGCTTCCTGCATGGAGCCTGCTTCTCCCTCTGCCTGTTTCTCTGCCTCTCTCTTTGTGTCTCTCATGAATAAATAGGTAAAATCTTGAAAAAGAAAAAGAAAGAAGAAAGAAATTGGACAGACTTGAATTTTATGTGATTTGAGGCAAATTATTTAGCTCTAAGCTTTTAGTTTGTTTTTTTTTTTAAATCCGAATCAGGAGAATAATAACAGAGTTGCTATAGGACTTAATCCAGAGCCAGCAAAGTGGCACATAGTGGGGATTGGTTACAAAGTCATTTCATGTATTTTTTAAAATAAGGATTTCCTGGACCATCTAGCCCAGGTAGTCTGGTTGTAGTTCACAGTTAATATGATATATGGAGGTTCAGCCAGAGACAAAAGGTTAAGGAAATGCCCTAATATCCTTTGTTTTTTAGTGTAACCCATTTTTAAATCATTTACTATCAGGCTTTTAGGTTTGCTATGAGGCAATTCAGTTTCTTGCAGCGATATCCTAACTTTGGGTACCATTTTGGATATCTGTGAGACTTAAATGCTTCATCTATGAGACTTAAATGCTTCGTCTATGAGACTTAAATGCTCCTTTCAGGGAAAAATAGAGAACATTAACTTTGTTGACAACCAGGAGTAATTGCCATTATTTCTGTAGATAGCTACCTAATGTCAGATCTATGTGTTGATAGCTACTTTACAAAACAACCCAAATAAGTACTGTTCTGATTTTGAAATGTCCTTATTTGCCCAAGACTGTGGTAGCAATAGAGATGGTTTTCAAAATAAGATGTGGCTTCAGAGCCCTTCTATTCCTTGCTTTCCCATTCTGTCGCCATGAAAACAGAAAGACATGAATCTTTTATATCTTTTAATTTGTTTTTTAATATGCTTAATGGGTTATGTATAGAAAACAAGTGACAACATATAACCAATTTCTCTATAACAACCTAACAGCCCTTTTCCCCCATTTTAGGGACTCTGAGATAATGCAACAAAAGCAGAAGGCAGCTAATGAGAAGAAGTCTATGCAGACACGAGAAAAATGATGACTATGGAAAAACCTGGGTGCTACTGCCAACTAGGTGTATCATAGGCTCTAAGGTCAAAATTTTGTGAAGCGAACAATCATATGTTATATCCTTACAAAACTATTTTAGACTTTACCTTTCAGCCTTAGTGTAATGTTTCATAACCATTCTTCAAATAATAAAACACTAACTGTGCATGTGACATATTGGTGAATGTTGTTTTTTTTTAATCAGTGAGCATTTATATAATTTAATAGAGAAGTAATATAATCTCTTATAAATCTAGAATCTTTGTCATAAACTTTGTTAAATCTTAAAGTCAACTTGATTGTATAATAGAGTTTAAAATACATTTATCTCAAGTTGCTTTGTAATTAACTAGTTTGCTTGAAGAATTTACAAGATAGTACCTGGAATAGCAACTAAGTGAATACAAAGTAAATGAAGAGTAACTTACTGAGAAACCTCTCAGTGAGAGTTTTGCTTACAGCTTTAAAATTGTCTAGAATAAGTGCCTTTTTTTTTTTAAGGATTGATTGATTGATTTATGAGAGACACAGAGAGAGGCAGAAACACAGCCAGAGGGAGGAGTAGGCTTCCTGTAGGGAGTCCAATGCAGGACTCCATCCTAGACCCCAGGATCATGACCTGAGCCAAAGACAGAAGCTCAACTGCTGAGCCACCGAGGCTGCCCAAGTACATAGTTTATTAGTGCAATGTACAAAGGATTCACTCTTTGGTTTTAAGAGTGCCATTTTTTTTTTTTTTTTTTTTTTTTTATTTATGATAGTCACAGAGAGAGAGAGAGAGAGGCAGAGACACAGGCAGAGGGAGAAGCAGGCTCCATGCACCGGGAGCCCGACGTGGGACTCGATCCCGGGCCTCCAGGACCGTGCCCTGGGCCAAAGGCAGGCGCCAAACCGCTGCGCCACCCAGGGATCCCCAAGAGTGCCATTTTCTTAGGCTGTTCCAAGACTCTGGAAAAAAATATTGAGGGTTAAAAATATGGAAGTACGGGAACCCTGGGTGGCTCAGCAGTTTAGCGCCGCCTGCAGCCCAGGGCGTGTTCCTGGAGACCCTGGATCGAGTCCCACGTCGGCTCTCTGCATGGAGCCTGCTTCTCCCTCTGTCTGTGTCTCTGCCTCTCTCTCTGTGTGTGTCTCTATGAATAAATAAAATCTTTAAAAAAAAAAACTAAATTGAAAAAATTAATTTTATGAACTTGTCAACCATAGTTTTTCATTAGAACAAAATGGAGTAAGGAAATTTTTTTTTAAGATTTTATTTATTTATTCATGAGAGACACAGAGAGAGAGGCAGAGACCTGGGCAGAGGGAGAAGTAGGCTCCCTGTGGGGAACCCGATGCGAAACTTGATCCCAGAACTCCAGGATCGAGTCCCCCATCGGGATCCTTGCATGGAGCCTGCTTCTCCCTCTGCCCAGGTCTCTGCCTCTTTCTCTCTCTTTCTGTGTCTCATGAATGGATGAATAAATAAATAAGTAGAATCTTTGAATAAAAAATAAAGTCGCTTCCTGCGACTTTACCTACTAAAGTACTTGCTGTTTAGTAAACACATATTGGAATATATTATCTTTACAGATGGCCAAGTCATGAAAATGTCAGTGGGAAAAGAAGAATGACTCTAAGTTGCTGAAATGCACTTTCCCATAAATCACGGCAAGGTTTAAAACTTCATATAGGCTTTTCCTTACAACTTTGCTTCTTAAAAACAAAAAACTTAAAAAAAAAAAAAAACTTTTACATACCACAAAATGAGCATGAAAAGTTCACAAATAGCCTGCTTTTAAACGATTTGCCCAGGAAAATCGAGGTTTTCAAAATTTGATTTTGATTATAATATACAGAAATATTTTCCATGCCAGATACCATCCATGCTACTTTATCAATTGGACATGACTCTGCTTGCCATTGTATCCATGCGGGAACATTTCCTTGAGTATTACTGAATGGAGTTTTTTTACACAAAAAAAAATTTTTTTCAATTTGAGAGAGATAGCAAGCCCTCAAACATGAGCAGGGGAGAGGGACAGAGGGAGAGGAAGAGACAGACTCCCTGCTGAGCAGGGAGCCTGATGTGGGACTTGAACCCAGGACTGCAGGATCATGACCCAAGCCAAAGTAACCACTGGAGCCATCCAGGCGCCCCTACAGAGTTTTTTAGTTTATAAGAAATTGGCTACCAACCTGAGTATAATTGAGACAAACTCCTATTGAATACTTGTTTTTATAAACATACATTTCATGACTAAGGCTTTTGTGAAGGCCTTGGATCGGAATGGGGGTAGTTACTAGTCAAAAAGCTCATTTGGCCTTGTACTGCTCAAGATGACTATTAAGGTGGCTTATGAATGGACATTTAATGTAGATTATGTACTTTAATGTATGAAAAAATACAAGCACATCAAATCCGTGATTTTGGGAGACCTTGGGGCTCAGTGGTTGAGCATCTGCCTTTGCCTTGGGTTGAGATTCAGGGGTCCTGGGATCGAGTCCTGGATCGGGCTCCCCGAGTGGAGCCTGCTTTTCCCTCTGCCTGTGTCTCTGCCTCTCTCTCTGTATCTCTCATGAATAAATAAATAAAAATATTTTTTTAAAAAAACCCTGTGATTTGATGATATATTGAAATTTCTAGTTGCAAATAATCATTAATTATAAATAACCACGTTAGTTGTAACAGTTGAGTGGATGAGAGACTCCAGAGTCTAAGGAAAAGTTGAAGACTCAAGGCTTTGGAAAGATCAAGAGTTAGAGCGGCTCCAGGCACTATGAGAATTTTTTTTTTCACAATGTTGCTATCAGGGTGAAATTTTGACAACTATTTTCAGTCTTTATGTCATTCAGAGTTTCTCCAAATGAACTTGTTTGGGTTAAATGCCTACTCTTCAAAAAGGGGAGGGCAGGCATCTGAGATGATATAACCAAGAGTGTATCCAGTGAGGAATAGGTGGTTCTTCTAACAAATCTGGGGTTCTCTTGCCAGAAAGTGGGGTGAATGGATGCTGGGCAGCCTAAAAGAGTCCACTACTCTCATTGCAAGGCTAAAATTAAATTTAAAAAATGAAGATACATGAAAAGGCAAATCATGAAGGTGATAAGTAATGTTCTGAAGTGTAAAATGAAGCTCATGCCATTCATACTTCTACCAGCTTTCAAAACCCAAAAATTCAGTGCCAACTCATAAAAAATTGGGGAAAATAAGCTGTAATAATTTTAGCCATGAATTAGTTACTCAGAAAACTAAACATACTATATAGTCCAGTAATTGTGTTCCTGGATATTTTTCCCCGTGAAATGATAATAAAGAGCATAATTAAGTGTACATTTTTATTGACTTGTACTAGACTCTACCCAGATCAAGATCCATAGACATGGGATGCCTGAGTGGCTCAGCAGTTGAGCATCTGCCTTTGGCTGAGGGCGTGATCCTGAAGTCCTGGGATCGAGTCCCACATTGGGCTCCCTGCATGGAGCCTGCTTCTCCCTCTGCCTGTGTCTCTGCCTCTCTCTCTGTGTGTCTCTCATGAATAAATAAATAAAATCTTTATTTTAGAAAAAAGATCCATAGGCATTTCTATCACCCTAGCAGGCTCCCTTGTGACTATCACTATAGATTAGCTTTGCATATTTTTTATTTTCACATTAGTGGAATCCTACAGTATGCACTATGGTGAGTCTGGCTTCATTTGTTTAACATCATGTCTGTGAGAATGCTTTGTCTTTTGTGTGTCTGTAGCTCCATCTTTTTCTTTGCTGTGTAGTATTCTGTTAAATATACCATAAGTTAGTTACCCACTCTACTTTTCGTGGATGTTTGGTTGCTCTTAGTTTGGAGCCTTTAAGAATAATTATGCTATAGATAGATCTTTCAGTGGTCATAAATATTTCTAATACATACTTAAGAGTGGAATTTCTGGGTCATAGAGTGTATAAAATTGTTATATAGTTTTTCTTAATGCTCACCTAAGTAAGCATTTGTAAACAAACATAACTAAGGGATGTGGAGAATTTCCTTGGGTTGTCATAATTACCACAATCTTGGTGATTTATAACAACAAAAATTTATTCTGTCACAGTTCTATAGGCCAGAAGTCCAAAAGCAAGTTGTCACCAGGACCACATGCCCTCTGAATATTGTATGGGAAAATCTTTGCTTGCCTCTTCCAGAAGCTTCAGGCATTATTTTGCTTGTGTCAGCATTACTCCTATCTCCATCTTCACATAGCCTTTTTTTCTCAGGCTTCTTCCTGTTATTTAGCCACCACCACTAATTCTAGAACATCTCATCACCCCAAAAGAAGCCTTGTACCCATTAGCAGTCCCTGTTTTTCCCTCCTTCCATCCCCTCACAACTAATCACTTTTTATCTGTATCAATTACTTATTTTGGATATTTATGTAAATAGAATAACTGGCCTTTGAGGTCTGGGTTTTTCTCTTAGCATAAAGTTTTCAAGGAGGAATAATATTTTAATAAATTTAGAATGGCAGATTCTTTGTTGAATTGTAAAGCTATTTTGGGCACTTCTATAAACATTGGGGTGCACTGCCGCTTTGGATCACTACACTTGTATCTTTGGGGTGTATACCTAGTGCAATTGCTGGGTTGTAAAACACATGTATTTCTGATCTCCATAGAAGCCAAAGGGAAGCTGTCAAATTTCCTTGGGTAGATTTTCTATTTTTTTAAAAGATTTTATTTATTTATTCACGAGAGACACAGAGAGAGAGGCAGAGACACAGACAGAGAACCCGATGTGGGACTCGATCCCAGGTCTCCAGGATCACACCCGGACCTGAAGGCAGTGCTAAACAGCTGAGCCACCCGGGCTGCCCTGGGTAGATTTTTTTAAAGAAAATTACTTAAAAAAAAAAATAACTAGTACATGGAATCTACATGGCAGTCTTAAATACCTAAAGAATCTGGAAAAGTAAATGATAAATTCCTACTAAGATCTAAAATCCTGCTTGATCCGTGTAAAGATAGGGGGGAAATATGCACCTCCTTAAACATGGGACATTTGATCCCATTTTTCTTCTCTATCCCATTATCTATCCCCATACTCCCCTCCCCTCCATCCCCTGACAATTGTCAGTTCTCTGTGAATCTGTTTCATTCGTTTTTTAGCTTTCATATATAAGTGAAATCATATGGTATTTCTTTCTCTAACTTATTTCACTTAGCATGGTAGTACTGTCTGGGTCTGTCCATGTTGTTGTAAATGGAAAGATTTCATTGTTTTTATGACTGAATTATATTCCATCAGGCATACATGTATAAACACGTTTATCCACTCATCTAGTGTTTGCATCAATTTATATTATCACCAGATTCCCTTTTCTTACATCCTTACTCTCATTAAAAAAAAATATATATATATATATATTTACACATACACATACATACATACACATATTTGGGCAGCCTGGGTGGCTCAGAGGTTTAGCGCCTGCCTTCAGTCCAGGGTGTGATCCTGGAGACCCGGGATCAAGTCCCATGTCGGGCTCCCTGCATGGAGCATGTTTCTCCCTCTGTGTCTCTGTCTCTCTCTCTTTAAATAAATAAAATCTTTTATATATATATATATATATATATATATATATATATATATATATATATATATATATATTTAAGAGAAAGCATGAGCAGGGGGAGGGGCAGAGGGAGAAGGAGATGGCGACTCCCTGCTGAGCGGGGAGCCCGATGCAGGACTGGATCCCAGGACCCTGGAATCACGACCAGAGCCGAGGACAGACGCTTAACCGCCTGAGTACCCAGGTGCCCCATCTCACTTGTTATTTCTTGTGTTTTGAAAATAGCTATTCTGGGATCCCTGGGTGGCGCAGCGGTTTAGCACCTGCCTTTGGCCCAGAGTGCGATCCTGGAGACCCAGGATCGAACCCCACGTCGGGCTCCCGGTGCATGGAGCTTGCTTCTCCCTCTGCCTGTGTCTCTGCCTCTCTCTCTTTGTGTCTGACTATCATAAATGAATAAAAATTAAATAAATAAATGAAAATAGCTATTCTATTTTAATAGAATAGCTCAATTTTTGTTTGAATTGCATTTTCCTGATGGTTGGTGATATTGATCATCTTTTCATGTACCTGTTGACATCTGTAAGTGTTCTTTGGAAAAATGTCCATGCACTGCCTCACCATATTTTTAATGGGATTTCTGGGTTTTTTTGTGTGTGATTTTTTTTAACATTGAGTTGTAGGAGTTCTTTATAGATTCTGGATGTTAACCCCTCATCAGATAAATCACATGAGAACATCTGGGCCCTTTCAGTAGGTTTTCTTTTCCTTTTGTTGGTTTCCTTCATTGCGCAAAGCTCGTTGCAGTTCCATTTGTTTATTTTGATCCCTTTAAAAAAAAAGATTTTATTTATTCATGAAAGACAGAGAGAGAGACAGAGACACAAGCAAGCTCCACACAGGGAGCCCCATGCAGGACTCGATCCTGGGACTCCAGGATCACACCCTGGGCCAAAGGCAGATGCCAAACCGCTGAGCCACCCAGGGATTCCTGATCCCTTTTTAAATTTTAAATATTTACTAGAGAAGACTTGGGAGAATGGATATTAGCGTAAATGTTAGGGTTGAGAAGTGGATAAAGACATGAGCTCTATTTCATATCCGGGCTGCTGTGTAGATGCTCTGTGCCTGTTCCCTCCTCTCTCTCTTTTTGGACATCAATAGTTCATTACTTAAAAAAATATAAAAATAAAAAAAATTAAAGTAATGTCTACCACCTAAGGTGGGGCTCTAACTCAGAGGCCCGAGATCCAGCCTTGCAGGCTCTACCCACGGAGCCAGCTCCCGCGGCCCCTCATTCCTTTTTTCCCTAATTGCTGAGTAGTAGTCTACACCTGCACCACAGTAAATTTCCTTTATCATTAAAATAGGAATAGTAATCCTTCCTTTATGAGGTTGCAAAAATTAACATAAAACTCTATAAAGCGCTTTTTTAAAAAAATGGTAGCTATAGGTTACCTGTGAACCAACTTCTGTATTACCCACATTTCCTAAATTATCCGCAATGGACACTGTTTTCCTTTACAAAAATATTTATTTATTCATTCATTCATTCATGGGAGATGCAGAGAGAGAGAGAGGCAGAAACCCAGCAGAGGGAGGAGCAGGCTCCCTGCAGGGAGCCCAACGCTCAACTGGATCCCAGGACCTGGGGTCACGACCTGGGTGGAAGGCAGGTGCTCACCCGCTGAGCCCCCCGGGGGGGGGGGCCCTGGACACTATTTTCCTTGGAAATTTGTTTAAAACAGAAACACCCTGTTCGCATCACTCTACCAACATAGGAAACGGTGAAATCAAGCAATTGAAAGGGGGCGGGACAGCAACGCGCCCGAGCGGAGCGGCGGGAGCGCTCCTACCTGGGCGGACGCGGACGAGGACGCGGACGCCGCGTGGCCCCCCCCAGGCCACCGTCCTCCGCTTCCGCTCCCAGAGGCCCGAGCACCGGAAGTTGTCACTGCGAGGGAGACACAGCCCACGCCGCGCACCCGGCGGTGTCCGCGCCATGGCGATGGGCGGAGGCGGCGGGCTGCCGGAGCCCGAGGACTCTGTGCTGTTCCGGCGCGGCACTGGCCAGGTGAGGCCTCCGACGGCTCCGCCTTCGGCCGGGAGCCCCGAGCGGGCTCCCGGTGGTCCCCGTCCACCCCCGCGCGGGCCCGGCGGTGGGGCAGCCGCGGCGGCCTTCTCGGTTGCTGCACCTGTACACGTTTGGGAGCATTAGCCCCGAGCTGCCCCCTCGTGCCCCTTGGGCTCCCTGGTAGCCACGAGCCGACTCCCCACCTCCTTGTGTCCATTCTCCCTGACCGGGGAGCGTGTAGTGTGCGTGGGCCGGCCGCGGTGAGGCAGGCGGTTGAAATGATGGAGAGGAGAGCCAGGGATAACTCCGGGGTTGTCTTGAAGCGCTGAAAAGATGAAATTGCTTTTTACTGAGGTGTGCCAGGGAAGACGGCAGGTGGAGAAGGGTTTCTAAGGGTGAAGATCGACCTTGGGTAAAATCTGATTGGATTCGGATTGGGAGAGGACAAAGTCGGGGCAACGTCTGTAAATACTTCGAGTTGTAGCCTGAAGGTAGAGGAATTGGCCAATAGACGGAGGGGGAGCGAAATAAACGCGGTTCCTAATTGCGTTTCTTGTTCGTAAGAGGATAGAAGCCTGTTTCAGCGTTTCGTGGGCCCGTGGGAAAGATCCGGTAAGGACGGGAAGTTTCCCAGGGTCCCGGGATCGAGTCCCGCGTCGGGCTCCCTGCGCGGAGCCTGCTTCTCCCTCGGCCTGTGTCTCTCTGTCTCTCGTGAATAAATAAAATCTTTAAAATAAAATAAATTAAAATAAAATAAATAGAAAAAAGAAGAATCGACCCTGGAATTTAAGCTAAGAGACGGAGTGAGGACCTTAGGATAGAGTAAGAGTTTAAAAAGCTGGAGGATCAGTGTTTTGTCCAGTGAAGTGAAATGATTGACATCATGCGGCTGCTAGAAGGCGTAAGTTGCAGAGGCTATAAGGTGATGGTTAAAGAGGAGGATTTTTTTTTATTTTTTATTTTTTATTTTTTATTTATGATAGTCACAGAGAGAGAGAGAGGCAGAGACAGAGGGAGAGGGAGAAGCAGGCTCCATGCACCGGGAGCCGGATGTGGGATTCGATCCTGGGCCAAAGGCAGGTGCCAGACCACTGCACCACCCAGGGATCCCTTAAGTTTTTTATTTTGATTCCAGTGTCCTTAACATGGAGTGTTGTATTAGTTTCAGCTGTACAACATAGGGGTTCAGCACGTCTCTGCCTTACTCAGGGCTCATCACAGTAAGCTTACTGTTATCCTCCTCCCCTATTTCACCATCCCCCAACTCCTCTCCCCTCTGGTAACTGTCGTGTGTTCCCAATAGTTAAGAGTCTATTTGTTGGTTTGTCCCTTTTTTTCCTCTGTTCTTTGTTTTCTTTTCAGTAGGCTCCATGCCCAACATGGGGCTTGAACTCCTTACCCTAAGATCAAGAATTGCATTTCCTACTGACTGAGCAGCTTGGTGCCCCCATTCCTGATACTTCATTCTTTTTTATGGCTAAATAATATTCCACTGTGTATACGTGCCACATTTTCTTTATCCGTTCATCCATCAGTGGACACTTGGGCCGCTTCCCGTGTGGCTAGCGTAAATACTATTTTAATACGTGCACCTATAAACATAGGAGTGTGTGTATTCCTGTGACTTAAGAGTTTTTGTATTTTGGTGGGTAAATACCCAGTAGTGTGATTCCCAGATCATAAGGTAGTTCTGTTTAATTTTTTGAGGAAACTGCATTCTGTTTTCCACAGTGGCTGCACCAATTTGCATTCCCACCAGCAGTACAAAGGTGTTCCATTTTCTGCACATGCTAACCCACATCTGTTTCTTATTTTAGCTGATAATGACAGGTGAGGTGATACCTCATTGTATGTATGGTTTTGTTTTTTAAGTAAACTCTGTGCCCAATGTGGGGGTCAAACTCTTGACTCCAAGATCCAGAGTCACATACTCTACCCACTGAGCTAGCCACACACAGCACACATTATGGTTTTGATTTGCATATCCCTCATCTGTCTTTGGAGAAATGACTGTTCATGTCTTCTACCCATTCTTTTTTTAGTTTTTAGCTAATTTTTAAAAAAGATTTTATTTATTTATTCATGAAAAACACAGAGAAAGAGAGGCACAGACGCAGGCAGAGGGAGAAGCAGGCTCCATGCAGGGAACCCAACGTGGGACTCCATCCCAGGACCCTGGGGTCACGCCCTGGGCCGAAGGCAGGCGCTCAACCACTGAGCCACCCAGGTATCCCTAGTTAATTTTTTTCTCTAAGATTTTATTTGTTTATTCATGAGAGAGACACAGAGAGAGAGAGAGGCAGAGGGAGAAGCAGGCTCCATACAGGGAGCCTGACGTGGGACTCGATCCCAGGACCCCAGGGTCATGCCCTGGGCCGAAGGCAGGCACTCAACCACTGAGCCACCTGGGCTGCCCAATTTTTTTCTTTTTTAAAGATTTTATTTATTTATTCATGATAGACCCAGAGAGAGAGGCAGAGACACAGGCAGAGGGAGAAGCAGGCTCCCTGCCGGGAGCCCAATGTGGGACTCGATCCCGTGACCCTGGGATCATGCCCTGAGCAGAAGACAGACACTCAACCACTGAGCCACCCAGGCGTCCCATTTCTTAATTTAAATTCAATTTGCCAACATATAGTATAACACCCAGTGCTTATCACATTATGTGCCCTCCTTAACACCTGTTACCCAGTTAACCCATCCCCTAACTCCCCTCCCCTTCTGCAACCCTTCATTTCCCAGAGTCAGAAATCTCTGATAGTTTGTCTTCCTCTCTAATTTTTCACCACTCAGTCCCCCCCCTTCCCTTATGGTCCCTTTCATTATTTCTTATATTCCACATAAGACTAAAATCATTTGATAATTGTCTTTCTCCAATTGACTTATTTCATTCAGCATAATATCCTCTAGTTCCATCCACGTGGATATAAATGAAAGGTATTCGTCGTTTCTAATGGCTGAGTAATAATGCATTGTATATATAGACCATGTCTTCTTTATCCATTCATCTGTCGAAGGATATCGTGGCTCCTTCCACAATTTGACTGTTGTGGACATTGCTGCTGTGAACATTGGGGTGCAGGTTTCCCATCATTTCACTACATCTGCATCTTTGGGATAAATACCCAGTAGTGCAGTTGCTGGGTTGTAGGGTATTCTCAAGGAACCTCTACACTGTTTTCCAGAGTGGCTATACTTGCATTCCTGCCAACAGCGTAAGAGAGTTCCCCTCCCAGAAAGGCTCTTACCATAGAGAACAAACTGATGGTTATGAGAGGGGAGGTGGGTGGTAATGGGGATTAAAGAGTACACCTATGATGAAGTAAAATGATTTTTTTTTTTGTAGACTTTAAGAGCACATGCACACACAAGCAGAGGAATGGGCAGAGGGACAAGCAGACTCCCCACTGAGCAGGGAGCCCTACAATGTGGGGCTCCATCCCAGGACCCTGACATCACGACCTGAGCCGAGGCAGATGCTTAACTGACTGAGCCACCCAGGCACCCCAGTAAAATGATTTTTAAAATAAACGTAGGGGTGCATATATCCTTTCAAGTTAGTCTTTTTGTATTCTTTGGGTAAATACCTAGTGCGATTATTGGATCATAGGATAGTTCTTTTTGTCAGAGGCATGTGGTTGGGGAGAGGGAAAGAGCTCTATTTTTAATTTTTTTGAGAAATCTCCATACTGTTTTCCATGGTGGCTGGTCCAGTTTGCATTCCCACCAGCAATGCATGGGGATTTCTTTTTCTCCACATCTTCACCAAACCTTGCTTCTTGTGGTTTTCATTTAGCCATTATGAATGTGAGGTGATACATCGTTGGGGTTTTGATTTGCATTTGCCTATTGGTGAGTGATGTTGAGCAATTTTTCATGTGTGTTTTGGCTCTCTGTGTCTTCCAAGAAATACCTGTTCGTGTTTTCTGCCCAGGAGAGTAGAATTCTTTAAACTGAGTTTTTGGAAGGGTTGTAGTTATTGATTACAGTAAGTAAGGACTGTAGAAGTTAGTAGCTGCGATTGAGTGATGTGCAAGATCATTGGTAGGGAGGAGTTTAAAGACCTGCAGTGATAGGGTATTGCAGGGATCATCTCCATGGGTTTTTAAATAATCAGGAATGATAGGAATAACATTGGAGAGCGTACTGGGATATAAATCTCAGAGAATGAGGAAGGATGGCTCAGATGGCTGTAGATGATTGCATGAAGAAGATTAGTAGACAGTGGAGTCTGGTAATAGGATTTTGAAAACTGTGTTCAAGAAAGAAGGAGAGAGAAAATTCTGAAAGTGGATGTGTGGAGCAAGGAAGGTTGCTTTCCCATCTGTGGTACAATGATTTGAGGGATATTGAGAAAATATTTCATTGAGATGTCTGCAGAGAAAGAGGCATCTTTGGGGAAAGCTAGATTTTAAAGCAAGAAGATAAAGGGTTAAAGATATTGGAAGCGGGATTTGCTGATTACTGAAGACCTCACAGCAGAAGTGTCAGCTATTGAGAATTGTAGAAGATGGCAGAACCTGAGAAACTGAGGCCACTAGTGCTGACCAAGCAACAGAAATGTAAAGGCAGTGTCATGGCCTGTTCTGGCTACTGTGTAACACATCACCCAAAACTCAGTAGCTTGAAACAGTAATAATTGTACATAGTAGTTCATTTCTTTTTACTACTATAGTATCCCATTGCATTAATATACTATGATTTGTTTATTCACTTGTTTGAGGACATTTGGATTGTTTTCATTTGGGGACTGTTACTAATAGAGCTACTGTATTAGTGGAATAGACTTTGTATGGACATAGGCTTTCATTTCTCTTGGAAATCTACTCATGGAGTAGTTGTATTTTAACTCTAGTAAGAAGCTGCCTTGGGGGGTACCTGGCTGACCAGTTAGAGTGTGTAACTCTTGATCTCAGGGTCATGAGTTCAAACACCATGTTGGATGTGTCCCACTTTTTAAAAAAGCTGCCTAGGAGTACCCTTCTCTTTGTTAAATAGGA